AAGACTTTTGCACCTATTGACAGTTATGTTGGTTCACTGTAAATGAGCAAGGCACTTTAATATTAATGGGAGGGTATGTAAATTATATAGGAGGTTCTCCGGACGAACAACATGTCGAACCTTGAAGTGAATGTGCTACAGCCCCAGAAAACCAAACCAGACGCCACTCCTTCTGAACAGGCTACACAGGCTCGCCAAAGTTGGACAATCGAAGATAGCAAAAATGTTACCTGGTCTGAGTCTCAATTTCTGTCACAACATGCTGATGGTAGGGTCAGAATTTGGCGTCAACATTTAGGCATGGATTCATTCTAACTTGTCTTAATGGTTCAGTCTGCTGGTGATGGTGTTATGGTAATGGTGATATTTTCTTGGAACACTTTGGGCCCCTTAGAATCAATGGAGCATCATGTCAATGCCACTACCTACCCGAGTATTGTTGCTAACCATGTCCATCCCCCTATGACCACATGTCATAAAGGTTGAATTACCTCAGATGACCTCATGGATGGATGGATGGATGGATGGATGGATGGATGGATGGATGGATGGATGGATGGATGGATGGATGGATGGATGGATGGATGGATCAATCAATGTTAATATTGGGTACGGTAGGCTTTGCTTGCAATTACATTGGTCAAACATTTCCTGTAGTTTTTAACCCGTTTGCACACACTGCTGGAGGGATTTTGGCCCACTCCTCCACAGAGATCTTCTCTAGATCAGTCGGGTTACTGGGCTGGCACTGAGAAACACAGAGTTTGAGCTCCCTCCAAAGATTCTTGTGTGGGTTTGGACTGGAGACTGGCTAGGCCACGTTAGAACCTTTACCCGTGTGCTTCGGGTCATTGTTATGCTGGAGGACCCAGCCATTTTAATGCTCTAACTGAAGGAAGGAGGTAAAAAGGAGGAGGGAAAAAGTTTTTATCACATCTGACTACATGCCTTTCTCTTATGACTCTTCTGGAGCATCCAAATGGTCATTGGCAAACTTAAGATGGGTCTTGACATGTGCTGGTCTAAGCATGAGAACCTTCCGTGCCACGCATGACAGCTTAGTGCATTACCAACAGTAACCTTGGAAACGGTGGTCCTAGCTCTTTTCAGGTCATTGATGAGCTCCTCCCTTGTAGTTCTGGGCTGATTTCTCACCTTTCTTAGAACCATTGAGACCCCACAAGGTGAGATCTTGCATGGAGCCTCAGTCCAAGGGAGATTGACAGTCATGTTTAGCTTCTTCCATTTTCTAATTATTGCGCAAACAATTGACCTTTTTTCACGAAGCTGCTTGGCAATATCCCAGTAGCCCTTTGCAGCCTTTTGGAGGTGTACAATTTTGCCTCTAGTCTTTGGACAGCTCTTTGGTCTTGTCCATGTTAGTATTTGGATTCCTACTGATTGTATGGGGTGGACAGATGTCTTTGTGCAGCTAACGACCTCAAACAGGTGCATCTAATTTAGGATAATAAATTAATAAATTTTGAAGGCAGGCTAACAGGTCTTTGAGGGTCAGAATTCTAGTTGACAGAAAGGTGTTAAAATACTTATTTTCAACTTTATCATACAAATCAATAATAATAAATAAAAAAAAATCACACATTGTGATTTCCGGATTTTTTTTTTTTTTTTTTAGATTATGTCTCTCACAGTGGACATGCACCTATGACAATTTCAGACCGCTCCATGATTTCTAAGTTGGAGAACTTGCAAAATAGCAGGGTGTATAAATACTTATTTTCCTCAAAAGATTATATATATATATACATACAGTATAGGCTTCTTGCCCAGGTATTAATTGTGACATATTGTGACATGTAACATCGCCCCCGGCAATGCTAATACAATGGAGACAAGCAGGAGGCTCAGACACTCCCAGCAATAACCCCATTCTTGATAAAGATGAGACCTGAACTGTGCATTCAGCTAAAATTACTGTTCACTGTGGTTCTGTACATGGTCTGCTCCCCACTCTTCATGGGAATTTGCCCATTTGAAATGAGTCAAGGGGGAGCTTTCTAGCTCTAGCCTTGATCAATTGTTGCTGTATTCACATAGCTGTCCATGTCCTTAATGTTTGCCCTTTTCATTTTTGCTTCTAGATTTTCCTGTCACAATAGCTCTCTTTCAAAACACATTTAGATTTTAACCTTTTTATTTTCTTAGACCTGTTGCAGGAAATAGAATGCACGCAGATTACATCAGCATTGAAAGAGCTCATCCCTGCTCCTCCTATTTGGGTGTTTGTGTTCCCTGCTCTTGACTATTGATCCTTTATTTCCATTTTCTCCTCATACCTCTGACACACGGGCCCCACATGAGTTTAGATTATTACCAGCAGCTTGCTCTACTGAATGTAGATGTATAAATGACACTTGTACATATGTACATATATATATTGAGTAAATCATCATGTCTTTAATAGTTTAAATTATAAAAAAAACTACACAAACGCTTCTAAGTTAACGAGGACAATGAGAAAAACAATTTCATAATTATCTGGCCTATTTATCTTCAGGAGGCTTCTTAAGCTGAAAATAAAGCTGGAACCATTACACTTTGGCGCCCTCTAGCGACAGGTTTTATACTTACTGATCTGTAGTTTCAGATTAAGCCTTTTTTCGGATTTATAACTTTATCTGTCTGCAGCCAAGTACAGATGTTTAGGAAGAATTTGCAGGAGATGCTTCGAGTGTCAGCCTCTTCTACCCCAGAAGAGGTTTCTTTATAAAATGAAAGGTTTCTAAAAGATATCTTTGTTTAAATCTCAATGCTTTTTGAGACACAGATGGGTTTAAAGGATTCTTAAACCTGATGAAAAATAACTAATTAGCAACTTTTCATAAAAGCTTATTGCTTTAGCAAGGTGATTATTGTCCCTGTGGCTTACAAATGTATGGAAATTGAAGTTTCTCTTTAAGACCAAAAAAAAAAAAGAAGAATCTTTAATACAGAATTGCCAGACTTGGTTTCAAATCTTGGAAACCAAGTCCAGTGGATATTTTTTGAATTTGTACAGAATTGCCACCCTATACTGAGAAGTATGCCAGTGCTGTATAGTAACTGCAGTCACAAACACCAGCAGGACCTTGACTTCCAAATGACCTGCAAAATGTGCAACTCATAAAGACTACTTTGGACCAGTCCTCTCCTTGACCCTGGTAAGATGTTTCTCATATAACAGGGTCAGAGGGAATCCATGTTGAGGATCGCCATATATATCATAGATTTGCAAGTGGTGGCTCTTGTGGCTCTCACTCTGGTTGGTTAAAACCTTTTGTATTTTCCCAAAATGCTTAACTCCTGTCGGTTAAAAGCCCAAGTCTGCAGTTTTAATTTCTGCTTATGCATCGTATATTGCAAAACTTTACCGTCCACTAAACATTTAAATTTCTCTAATGCATCACTTGTGAGCAGGAAGCTTCTTTAGTAATGGCCACTTGTGGCAGGTCAACAGTGTGTGTTAGACTTTCAAAGTGTCCCCAGTTATCCATGACTGTGGAAGCTAAATTTGTCTACTTTATTCAATATTCTATGTGGGATTTTGTATCATTAATATAGGAAACATTTTTCCTGCAAAATTAGGAGAAAACGATTTTCTTGTCCTGTTTGTTTATTGCCGGGAAACAAAAGGACTGCAACTAAATTAACATCTCTGTTCAAATAATTTCTGACCCATGCATGAAGCTGTTGCTGAACTGGAAAGCTCCTTCAGTGACAGATTACAGCACCCTAAATGCACTAAATGCACAAGGGAGTGTTATCACAGATCCTTTCTCCCAGCAGCTGGAAGACTTTTTACCATCATTGTTCCCAACAACCTCAATAAGTTGTTACATTCATGCAAATTTTTGCTGTTCCTTAGTCAAATAACATGCTGTCATTTTTTAACAACTCTAGTGTTGCTATTTTTAAATATACACTACTGTAGAAAGGCAGTTATATACTGATTTATCCTCCAGATGCACAATATATTGTAAAAACACTGTACAGGATTTTATTAGTTTATTTTCCTGTTATTTTTATACACTTTTTAGGGTACATATTTGTGTGACCAATTTTGCTTTAACATTTTGCGGCTGTAACACCAATTTCCCCATTGTAGGACAATAAAGAGATTTTCTATTCTATTTTAAATCTTAACAGGGAGGAAACAGCAGCAGAATTAAATGGAAGTTGCACAGAGCAGCATGGAAAATGGGACTGAATGAACAGACCCCCACCAGTACCAAACAAACCTTACATTAGTTTATCCCTGACAGGGTTTTCTGTAGAGTACATGTATTCATAATTAAAGAGTTTGAGTCATCCCGAATTTTCAGCCTACACTAGCTGATGTGCTTCATGTGGGACTGCACTTTATTTTCCCACCTTAGAATTTTGTGTAATATTATTAGCTGGGGGAAGATGGAGGAACATGCCTAGAGCGAACCACCACTGATTATTGATAAGACCTTTCTTGGTTAATAACTGTACTTGGTAACAAATTGATAAAAAGGGAACCCCAACATAAATGAAACTTGCTGCTTATATTAAATAAAAACCTTTTCAGTCACTCAATAAGGAAAACCAGTTACCTTTCCCATTACTTTATTAACAAGTTGCTTCCACAAAACAAGCAGGCCACAAGAAGGTACAAGGAAGCTATCTGCCTGAAAGGCGGTACAGATAGCCACCCCCCATACCTCAGCAGAAAGATGCTTCAAATATTCACAATCTCTCTGATCTCAATTCATCCCACAGGAAGTTTGCGAGCTCAAACCCACAGCTATACCCATTATCATTTAACACGTCGCCCCTGGGTGCTGCGTCTTGGAAAGGAAAGAATAGCATCCCCCAGAATCTACCGAGTGACGACAGTCGTCATGTCGACTCCTCTGCGGCCCTCGAAGACATCATTGCCCAGAGTTAAGACTAACATAAAACTGCAGCAAAGATTAGCCGTAGCATGAGCTACAGCATTTCCCTTTCGTTAAAAACAGTTTGTGTTTTCCAGGATCTGCAATAATCAATTTTATTAGGTAGCAACATTTCAAAACATCAATTTCTGACAAACATGTGGCCAAAAGTAGTAAATCCTGATCCTGAGCAAGAAATTAACAGCCTTTCTCACTTTGTAAGCTGAAAGAGTGGGATTCAGGATGATAAAACTTGAAATAATTCAATTATTAAGAACCCCTGGACTACTTGAGAGAACAATCAAAGGTATTCCAGACAGGATGGTGATTTCTTTCTCACAGAAAGCTTCAGCTTTTTCCTTTCAACTGAATTAAATCTTTGGCAGCATCATCTGATGTCCATCAAGTTCTCTTTGTCACCTGTGCAGCCAGGTTTGATCCCACTAGTGTTGTTTTCTCCTAAACGAGCATCCTGGACAAAAGAGTAAAGAAAGAGAAACAGAATGATAAATACAGGAAAGATAGCATAAGTAAATATACAAGTATGAGAGCCAGTCAATATGACTCACTGAGAGGAGGTAAGTGCTAACTATTACCATCTGCTTTTTTTTATTTTTTATTACTGATTCACCTTAACAAGTGTGACTATGGTACCAAAGGTTGAAGCTGCACCCATACAGATCAACGAGAGGCTGTTAGTTACCAGGGCAGCAGAACGCCTGACAGAGTGGGAGAGCAAAAACAAACCTTGACCTTCAGTTTGGCTCATTCACCAACACAAACAGAATAGTCACATCCTCTGACTTGAGTCCTGCAGCTATTCATCCACTTTTTGTAACTTTATGTGTATAGAAATGATGAGAGCCTGAATAGATATCAGAATGAAAACAGGAGTAATATGTTGGTGCTTGTGGTTGATTGTGCAGGAATAGATCAATAGTGATAAATTCCTCACACCAAGCACCGACAGTTACTGTTTGCCTCGATTGACACCCTGTTCACGGAGAGCATAGTGACAGGGCAACACTAAGGCAAAGGTGTAAAAACGACCCAGAGAAACTGAGGAGAAGCTGACTTACAGAAGCATTTATTCGCTAACCTTTTAACTTAAATATGTTTTTAGGTGTTTTTACTTGGACTGAAAGTGAAATGGTGACCAATAGAACCACACAGTTGTACGGTTGAATAAAAAAATCTAATGAAAATCTCTAGTTTGGAACAGGTGATCCGATTTCAACCCAAAACAAAAATTACAGTTATGTAAAACCTTAAGAAGTTTTTATGGAGAACATCAGAGAACAGTAATGTAAAACCGACACACTGAACTCATCCCGCCCACAGTGATACAGAGTGGTGGCAGCTGTATGTGTAGTACTGTGGGATACTTTTATTCTGTTACATGAACGTTGGTTAGATGTGATTGAAAGCAAGATGGCGGCTGAATAAAGGACAGACCTGCACTGGACCTTAGACCTGGATGAGTGTATCACCCCGAGTATAGAACCAGAGCTAAAACAGAACAGTTTGGATCAGAGCATCATGTGCTGGAAGAGCCTAAACCTCTTTGGGACTTTTTTTTAAAGGAAACTGATGATTTCCATGTAATCAGTCTAAGTATGGAGCACAAGAGCAACTAAATCCAGATCCCCCTAAAAGCGTTGGTTGCTGGGATTTTTATTTTTTTACATTTTTTAACAGTTGAGATGACGTTTTAGGACTGCAGCTAACAATTATTTTGCAAATCGATTTATCTGTTGATTATTTTTTCAATTAGTAGATTAATAATTGCCAAAGTTTCATTGAAGAAGACATTTTACAAAATTAAACCAAGTAAAACTAAAACATTTCCACTTGAGGAGTTCTGGGTAGAGCAGACTGACAGACTATAAAGATCTTTTTTTTTTTTTTTT